GGGGGAAGAAACGGTGTGAAAAAAATGCTGTTTTTTTCCCCCCTTTTCAGCTCCAAATCTTACCTCACGTGGCTTGTGCTTCCTCCACAGGTATCACACCTCTGTGCTACAGCCTCTTCGCCCTCTACGACCCCCAGGCCAGGGTCTGGTTGCCCCCCAACCACCTTTTCCACATCACCAAAGACACCAACCTCCACCTCCTCTTCCGCATGAGGTGAGGCCGGATCCTTCCCTTTCCATCCCCTTGGGATTCAGAGCTGAGCCCCTTGGTGCTGGGAAGAACTGCTCCAAAATCCACTTTTTTTGGGCCTATTTTTGGGTTCCCTGTTTCTAAATTTGCCCTGAGGAGGTTTTTAGGAGCTGAGGAAACTCCAGCAGGGCCGGGCTTCAGCTCGGGAGGATTTAAACGAGGAAGGAGATGATGTTTGGAACCCTGACCTGGGCAAAATTCACTTCCCTGTTCCCAAATATTCCTCCCCTGCCTCTTTTTGGCTTCTTAATGTTTCCTGTGAATCCCCTGGATCCACATTTGAGGCAACATTCCCCTGTTTTTTTAGAGATTTTGGGCTTTGGAGGGGGGAAAATGGGGCTGGGAAGCGGCACCGGAGCTGAAGAGGCGTTTGGAGGCTGGGCTCAATTGCAGCCAGAGTTAATTAAGAGCCTTTTAACAAAGCTCTGCTAATGAGGGCCCTGTTTTTTGTGCTGTGTGGTGGAAAAGAGCTGAGAGGAACTCGTTTTGGGGGCAGGAAGAAGTTGCTTCCTCTTCACCTCGTGGCTTCGGAGTCGTTGCCCGTACTGGGGTTGGGTTTTTTTTGAGTTTGTGGCCCCTTCTCACGTCTTCAGGAAGCTGAGCTCTTCAAAACAGCCCCAAAATCCCCTTTTCTGAGCCCAAAATGTGATGCTGAGGCAGGGCAGATGTCTCCACAGCCCCTCCAGTGGCTCCTGGAGACAAAAGGGATGGAAATAAAACCCTCGAGCAGCTCCAGGGCAGGCGCTGAGCCTGGAGTTTGGCTTCGAGACGAACCCAAGGCATCTTCTGACAACCTCCCAACCCTCTTAACCCTTCCTGCGAGCTTCACCCTCCTCCTCCTCCTCCTCCTCCTCTTCCTCTTCCTCCCCTTTTTGCAGGTATTACTTTAGGAACTGGCACGGGATGAACGAGAAGGAACCGGCCGTTTACCGCAACGCCCCCCGACCCAGCGACTCCGAGGAGAAGCTGCCAGGAGGAGCTTTGCTGGACAGATCTTCCTTCGAGTACCTCTTCGAGCAGGTAACCCACCCCTCTAACAACTCAGGAGGGGGTGGGCAGGGTGTAAATCTGAGTGATTTCCACCCTCCAGCCAAGATCTGCTCAAAATCTGGTGGTTTGTGGGCGAGGTCTCGGCTGCGAGGACAAAACGCTGCTGGAGGTTGGACCTCGGGGAGGTTTTTGGTTAGGGGGAGGGTGAGGACTGAGCTGAGGGAGGTTTAAAAAAAGCCTAAAACCACTCCAAAAATCAGCTCTGGGTTCTTGATTTCCTCAGGGGAAGTTTGACTTCATCAACGACGTGGCCTCTTTGAAGGATCTCCACGCCGAGCAAGAGATCCAGAGGTTCAAGAACGAAAGCTTGGGCATGGCCGTGCTCCACCTTTCCCACATTGCCATCCAAAAAGGTCTTTCCCTGGAGGAGGTGGCCAGAAAATACAGGTGGGAGCTCAACTTTGCTGCCTCCCAACCAGAAACTTTCCACTCTGCTGTTTTCTGCTTCCTTCTGGGGTTTTTTCCACCCGTTCTCCCGGCGTGGAGGACGGGGAGGGAAAAATCTGAGGCCTGTTTCATAGCTAAGAGACCTTGGTGACTCCTCCAACTGCTCATATCCCCTGAGGGGTGGTTCCTTCTTCCTTTCAACAGCTTCAAGGATTGCCTCCCACGTTCCTTCCACCATCAGATCCAGCAGAACAACTCGGTGACCAAATTTCGGATGAAAAACGTCTTCAAGAAGTTCGTCAGACGTTTCCAGCAACACACGGTCAGCAAGGGCAAACTCACAGCCCAGGACATCATGTATAAATACTTGGCCACCTTGGAACACTTGGCACCTCGTTTTGGGAGCGAGATCTTCCCCGTCCTCTCTTTGGAGACCTCTTCTGAAGGGGAGAAGGTTCAACTCTACGTCAACGGGGGGAATCTGCCGGCGGAGCGAGGTCGAACCACGGGCCCCAAGGATCAGCCCCTCACCCACGAGGTGCTGGTCACTGGGACCAAGGGGATCCAGTGGAGGGCTCTGCCCAAGGAGGTGGGTGAGGGAAAGGCAGGAGGGTGGGGTTGGAAAAGAGGTTGAAGGTCCTGGAGGTCAAGTGTCAACCCAACAGCACCAGGGACCCCCCTAAGACGTGTCTCGAGCCTCACGTCTCCACGGCTTGGGGACCCCTCCAGGGGTGGGGGCTCCACCACTGCCCTGGCACAGCCCTGGGGGACCCTCCAGGGGGAGAAATGGTTCCTCAGGGGCAACCTCGAGCTCCCCTGGGGCAACTTGAGGCCGGTTCCTCTCCTCCCATGGCTTGGGGACAAGAGATCTCCCCTCTCCCAGCTGGCTCCAAGCTCCTGGCAGGGAGTTGGCAGAGCCAGAAGGTCTCCCCTGAGCCTCCTTTGGACCCCCCAGGGCCCTCAGCTGCTCCCCACAACTTCTCCAGCCCCTTCCCCACCTTGGTTGCCCTTCTCTGCCCACCCTCCACCCCCTCAATGTCCATCTTA